AACTTTTCAAGTCAGCCTAGAGATGGCAACTGTCTAGGTGGAGGTGGGGGGCGAGGAAGTCAGTAGTGAAATGGCAGCTTAAGTTTCAAGAGAGCTTTCAGGGCAGGAAATACCAGGAGCAGATTAGAAAAAGACAAGAAGGACTGTGAAGAACTGAAGTTGCTAGAGTGCAGTCTCTGGTCACTGGACTCTAAGGTCTCAGTCCTTTAAGCTTGAATGAGACCTGTAACATTAGCTGCTATCATTGGCTGAGGATATGAGCTTCAGCCTGAGATATAGACTTCAGTGTTCGGCCCAAGAGCCAAACACTTGTCATTGTGGGGGGCTAAGCGTCCTAGTACCCAAGGTGAGAGCAAGCAGGACAATAAAGTTCCATACTGTCTAGAGCCTTAAGTCTGTTTTTTCTAAAGCCCAGATCAAAAAAGGCCCTAGCTGTCAGGGCTTGGAGCTTTAAACTTCTAGGTTTCTAGTCCAGCCCTTATCCCTTGGTTACTCAAAGACTCATAAATACCAGTACTGAAAAGCTTTTCCTCACTTACCTGTGATTCTTATCCAGGTACAGCAAAAGGGCAATCAACTGATTTTTTTGAGAGAGAATAGCACAATTGTGTGAGTAAGAGGTTGGAAAAGAATGATTGATTAGAGGAAACAGTTAATTTAGCTGACTGCTAAATAACTTTCCTTATTTTTCAAAGACTAATTATCCCCCAATGTGTCTATTAGATAACTACAAATAGAATAAGCAATGCTATCTGAGAGACTGTGACCAAAAACAGTCATTAGATAATCCTTAGTTGTCTCAGCAGCAGGTGTGCTTTAATATCCTTGCTGATTTACATGGAGTTTGCACTCCATGTAAATCCAGTGATGGATTGCAGCTTGGGTTCAGGGTCCATTTCACTTCCCCTCGTTGGATATGTCTGAGGCCTGTTCTCAAGAGAACCACATAATGTTTGTACAGCTCAGTTATATGAAAGTAATGCTAAAGGATCTGGTATACAGTTTAGTGAATCAAAGATGAACATAGGTGATGATGGATAATAGATGCTTCCGTTTGTATTTCTCTCTTCACCTGTCCCATAAACCCTCTCACAGCTACCCACACCCCTTGTATTATAAGATGACTAACCTAGCATGGTGACATTTCAAGATGAGCTTATTAACATAGGCTCTAGCAAGGTATTTTGGCTTTGGAGCTCTTATAGTTAATATTCAATACAACACTCAACAGACTGTATTTGTTTTCAATAACTATGGACTTTCTTTCATCTTTGACTTCTTCAATAACAAAAAGAAAGACAGGCCATTTAAGTCTCCATTTCCAAAGATGTATTTACAATAGTTCATCGAATATCTTTGCTAAAGTTTTAAGATCAAAACAATTTTTGGCACTAATGATTTCTCACTTTATTTTCATTCTAAGGTGGTGGAAGTATTGGATTTGTTTAGGGATGTTTCCATTGTATTACGTATTAAGGAAAACCATAGAATTTTTTGAAGTTGGTGAGGAAACCGGCTGTGTACTGTAGCTATAAAAGTGATCCTTGGTTACATGTAACAGGCTTTTAATTCTGCCTCCTGACTTTTGGATTTCACTTTTGGTGGTTAGATGGATAGTGGATTTGTTCTGAATGTCTTAGGACATGCTGAATCACACCTGTCATTTACAGCAAAGGGTATTTTATTGTTGGGTATTGAGTAACGCTTGCACATTCTTCATTCTTAGGTAAGTGAGTCTCTCATCAGCTGATGGAATTTCATAATTTTACCCATATCATTAATCATTGACCTTAAGTGCCCCTTTGGTACATTTGGGTACTTGCTTTCAAAACAAACATGGGATGGTGAAGAAATGAAAGGGGAATATGAAGAGAATGCTGGAAGGGATGACACTGATTAAGATGCATTGTACTCATAAACTCACATGTTGAATTAAAACCCCCTTTGTACAACAATTTGAAGATAATAAAAATTATTACAAAATAGAATAAGGTTGCATTGTAACTATCAACTGATATGTGGAACTGAAATTCATTTGTATAGCTAATTAAAATATATATTAAAAATGAAATAAGAAGATGCATTATACTCATAAACTGAAATGTTATTTTGAAATCCTTTTATATACTTAAAGATAGTAAATATATAAATACACATATTTATATATGTATGCATAATATATACATATACACTTAATGGTGTTTGAGGTATTAATTAGTATTTTATACAAGAAAGTTTTCTTAAGCTCTGATGAGCATTGAGAAGTTACAAAAATGATTGGAATATACTGCTAAATTAAATGAATAAAGCACTTCTCTTAAGAGAATAGATTTTATTTTCTTTCTTCTGAAAATTTGAGTCCAAATTTACATTACATTAACTATCTTTATTAGATTGTCTTGAGTTTCTGAATTAGATTTTTACTTTGAGAGCACTTGTGTCTAGTGATTTAAATATTCCAATAAAATTATTCTATCAGCTGACAGGTTTTTTTTTATTTTTATCATTCTGTAGAAAGTAACCAACCATGTGTACACTTGGATAATATATTTGTACTTGATTGCCCTTTAACAAACACCTTTGGAAAATGTGTTTTATTTATGTCTTGATTAAAATTGTTCTGTTCATGAGCTAGGAAAGTTCATGAGCCCTGGCTAGTGCACTGTGGTAGTAATTAACAGCATAAATTAGTTATACAACACAAAGATGTAAAATCTCATGACAACACAGTTACAAAATATATATTAAAGTAGTGGTGTTTAAATAACTGCTTACCTCTCAAACACCTACTACTAGTATTAATTCTGAATTAAAAATATACTTTTCTTGCCTGATAATTGGATAAGAGATTATTTATTAACTTAGAATTTCAGAGGCTTAAATATTCCTCACATATTTTTGTTTTTTTCTTTCCCTTTTTAATTTATGTTACTCTTTAGTACATTTTAAGTTTATAGAATTTTTTAAAAAGATGACTTAATCTTTGCTTTCACTATTGGTCTTGTAAGTAATGGAATTATAAAACATTTTCTAAGTAATTTGAAGTCTTAGTAGACTTATTAGACATGGGTGTTTCATAAGGTCAAATATATCAACAGTTGTACAAGGTGAAATTATTTGGAAGGTCATGACAAAGCAAATAGCAAATATTTTATTTCTACTACCTCCCTTAAAAATCTGTATTTCAAAGCCACATTCATTTAACTTTCAGATTACTCTTTATATTTTGGTATGCCAGCTTTGAAACATGTCTTTTAAGCTCTGTTACTGTTTCTGTTTTAAAAAATAAAAACAATTGCACAACTTAAAGCAAAGAAGAAAAGTTTAAGGAGTTATTTACTGTAAATTAAAACTGATATTGTAATGTTATGGAGAAAAACTTAGAGAATTTTTATACCTACATTGGGAAAATAAACTTAGTTGAAAGAAAGAAAAATATAAAGAAAACTTCTTTATCTTATTCTCAATTATTTCCTCACAATATTAGTAATATGATTTTACTGAGAATTAAAATAAGAGAGATTGCTTTTAATGCATAAGATAGAAAAACAATTATACAGACAGAAATGGATTATAGCAAAGAATAACCATAAGTCACCTAATCCATAAATGAAGTAAATTCACAATTATGTATTTCAGTGGTGGTTACTGAAGATAAGTAACAGTATAACTAAATATGTTTAAGTATCTTTAAGTATGTTTGCTTTACCCTCTACCACATATTTTATGAAATATCTTTTAATACTGATTCTGAATTGAAGTGAATTTAATTCTTGCTAGAAGGATGTTCTTTGCATGTAGAATTGATGAGGTTTTTAAATGTGTTCTACTAAATATAGACAATTACATATACATAGTCTACTCGGTGTGGTTTTGGAATATATACAGTTAGGAAGTTATCAATCTATCTGAAATTCATTCCATCGTAGACTATGTCAGGTGACTCTGCTCAAATCATTTCACCATATGAATGCTACACAAATAACTGATTTTGCTTCCTGTTTTTGCCTCTTTGTCCTTCCCATTTGAAATCTTTGCATTACACTCTGCCACCTTAACAAACTGCTTTTCAGTACTGTTTGAAAGATAATTATATTTATTTAGTAATGAAAGAAGGCTATCATTAAGATTTTCATATTTAAGATTTTTCTTTTTCAAGCAGAGGTGCTGCAGGAATCTAATAATTATTCATTATATAAACTAGTATTTTTCACTGCCTTAAGTAATGGTTATTACCATTAATGATTATTATTGATAATACCATCATTTTGTTGCCAAATGTTGTAATGTGTATTTTAAAAACATTTATTGACTTACATAATAGTCACTGTTTGGGTTAGATCTTTTTTTTTTCCAACCAGATAAGTGAATAAGACTGAGAAGTCAGAAGTTCATATTACCAAATTCATATTGCCAAATAATAAATTTTAATTTAACATCTTCTCATGATGTTTTTGAAATATGTTCATTTCTTAAAATATCTTACTAAAATGGTGATTTAGCTTTTAATTAATAAATCAAATAGAAGTATAATTTTAGGTAGTTATTCATTAGCATATTTATAAGGATGAAAATCACATTCTCTCTCTCTCCTTCTCTCTCTCTCTCTCTCTCTCTCTCTACCTTTCATATACATAGTCCTAAAAAGAATAGAGGGAAATGTCATTAAGAAGCAAATAATTACTTTAAAACCCCCAAAGATGTTAGACTGAAATCTTTGATGTTGCTGAATCCTTCCATCTTTTCAGAAATTAGACATGTTACAGAAAATAGGCACTGATGATATAAATTACCATAGGTAGATGATATGCCTATGTATGAAGGGGCCTTTGAGTCCAAACTTAGCATTTGACAGAAGACAAACAGCAATTTCAGTCCATGCAAATAGAAAGCTCCATTCTAGGAATTTTTTAGATATGGAATTGAAAATCTTTTTTTAAAAAATTGTTTAGCATGTATTCACATATTTAAATGACTGCTCTATTCTTTGATATTTCCAGGAGTAAGTCTTAGGATGTGATGCTTTCCTGTGAAGCCTTAGATAAAAGGATCTGGGAACCAAAGGACTCTAGGGCATGCCGTGCCAATAGAGCTTCTTGGTGAGTACCCTGCATGTGTGATGATATTTTCCAGGTTGTGCTGCCATTGGTAAGTCTTACATGTGATTGAATCTTTATTTGCTTCTTTTGTTTAATTCTGTCCCATACTAAAGGTAGGAAAATTGTGCTAGTTTCTAATACGTTAGGTGGCTCTATTCGGATACAGGGTTTACTGGATGGTTTCTGCTTCTTACTTGCTATGAGAACAGACTACATATCTCACCATGTATCTGGATGCAGATCTTGGCTTTCATACGTAGTGATTATAACCTGTCTAACCTCAAGTATTTTTGTCCCTAAATTTAGGGCAGTAAAAAGTATCTTCTGCATAGAGCTGTTGTGAGAATTTCTTAGAGTAGAATTGCACATCGTAGGGTACTAAATGGGCTTCACTATTATTATTAGATATATTCTTTGTTATTATTATTAAGTGGTTATACAAAGGGGTTACAGTTCCATAAGTCAGGATCTGAGTACAATGCTACTTCATCAATGTCACCCATTTCTTTGTTCTTCCCCATTTTTCTTCTCTTGTCCCTAACCTCAAGTTTACACACTTCATTTTATACATAATATACATAGAATGTACAACTTCATTTGCTCACCTTTCCTCCCTCCATTCACGGAGAGAGAGATATTCTTTAAGTACTATATTCTATAGACTTATTCTTTTTTTATTTGTTTTTAAAATTTTTATTCTCTTTTGTTTAGATGTAGACAGACACGCATACAAAGCTGTAGAGTGAATACCTTTGAGGTAGACATTTCTTCACATATCTAATGTAACTAAGTCCTTTCAATTGTATAATTTGCTATATCCCTTCATTATTTAAGCACACTTTTATATAACTCTTTCCTTGTCTGCTTGTTTGGCTACACATACATAAATAAAGCAAGTGTAGCCTATCCTGGAATCATTCATTTCATGGATTCCACTTCTCTTTCCTTTTTAGCACTGTTCTATTGTGAGTCTTTACATTTCCTTCGAAGTCACCATTCATGCCTAAAATATCTTGGTACCAGGCAAAGTATCACACACTCAAAAAGATTGGGGAAAAAAAGGCCCTGTATAGGAAATACTTTGCAAATGAGGAAATCTTCGTTTGATAGTTGCTTTCAAAGACATTGTGTTAAAAGAGGAGTATCTCTGGTGGACAAGTAGAACTTGCTGCTTCTGCTGTATCTGCAGGGGTGTGGGTCTTCTTTAGGCCTGATGGTTGCACATATTTGATCAGCTTTAGAACTTCATCACAAAATATGTGTTCTGTGCCACAATCTAAAAATAAAATCAGCCAACGTGTTTTAAATGCTTCCTAACGTCAGTAGATCAACAATGTCTATTCAAGACTTTCCTAGTAGAGTGGGGAAGAACTAGGTCTGGGAATTAGCCAGGGTGGTAAGATCTGTTTGCTTTTTTGGGCCCACTCAGAAAAGCCATGATTTCTTCTTCAGTTTTGATTGTGCGGTGTTCTTATAGAAGAGGTGGTCTGTGTCTGTCTTTTATTTTATTTTTATTTTTATTGTCAAGGTGATGATGTATAGAGTGGTTACGGTTGTATACATAAGGTAAGGAGTATGCTTCTTGTTGAACATCATTACCTGCTCCCTCATTTGACCTTCAACATGCCTTGTGTTCACTAATGAGAAGGAAAATAAACAAATCTAAACAAAACAGGTTAAAATGTAGTCACCTGAACCGAAAAAGATGTTCCCTCCTAGATTTGGATATTTAAATCGCTATCCTCAAATGTCTATTGTGTACGTAGGTAGGAAAGGGACACCAGTGACACTCGATGGCTTCTAGTTGAATGGAATTTCTGTTTCCTCTAAAATGCATCTGATGTCATTGTGGCACCTGCAGTCAACTCCTTCTTTTTCCATTTTACAGCCTGACCCTTCAACATTTCACTACTTAGGCTTCTCAGTTGCCTGGGTACTGCTAATAGTACTGGGTACTTACTCAGTACAGAAAATGAGGAAGGGCCTCTCCCAAGACACTTAGTTATGGATATGTTATGGATCTTCCAGTGGCCAGAGAACCCACACAGGGTATCAGTCATTGTTCAGTTTCTGTCCTAACTTTAATCCAGCAATAAACAAAAGAAAGGAGGGGAGAAATATTATAGTACAAGTGAAGATGCGTAAAGAAGTTAAATTATTCAAATTTCTTACAACTCTAATACTATTTCATACTTCAATCTTAACTGCAACAAATCTGGCTTGTTAACTAGATATGAATCTACCTTACACCATGGGAAAGTGTCCTCACATCCTACCATTCCTACTGTAATGGCTTTTTGTGGGCTGACTACCCACTCAATGTTGGTTAAATTAGTTAATTAAACCCAAGGGGGAAAAAATCAGATTTCATTAGCCTCTTGGACTTAGCTAGTTTATTGCTAGAAGAGATACCAGCTGAAGAATGTGGCTTGTGTATAGAGTCAAATGGGGACTGTAACGAGTTTTTCTGAAAGCTCAGTCTTTCCTATTGTAAAGGTAGAACCTTCCTTGAGAAGACCACAGTGTGGTAGTGACAAAACCAGAATTCATTTCTTCTATAGCAAGGCATTCATGGAAAAAAGAGCACAGCCATGACCCACACCTAACTCAGTAGGTTTGGATTTTCCTTACAGATGTAGCAACCAGATGTAGAGTAGGTTGATGTGTTATTTTAACCCGTGAGTCTGCTATTTAAACTGATGGAAAGCCACCAGTTAGATGGCAACACGGAGTCACAGGGAGATTAGGTCAATTGCTCAACGCAAGAAATAAGAGTGTAGGTCTGAATGCAAGCCCTCTACACTAGAACAAGTACTTGAAGAATCACCTTTTAGACTAGAGTGAAGAAAGACTGTAAACCAGGAGTTATGCTTCAGTGTACCAGAAAATAGCTAGTTTCCCAGGGGAATAAAGCCAAGGAAACTGAGGCTGGTTATTGGGTCATTGGGTCCCTGTGCAAAAGAGATTCATATCTTCAGTCTCCTGGCAAGGAATTCATCAAGAATATACTGTCTATATAAGGAACACTTCAGAAAGGAATAAAATCACTGGAGCCATGGGACTGTTTCAAGCTTAGAGCATGGTTAAGATACCTGATAATTGTCTATGCCTTAGGACTTTCTTTGTTGTTATTTCCTAACATCATCATGTGAATTTTTTATACTTAGCAATAACAACAAACTGGGTGTGGAAACTCCCTGGTGAGACTAAGATCTGAAGGTCTCTGGTTTCAGGATAACCTGGGCAAAAAAGTTCACAACTTTCTCGACCAATAGCTGGAAACAGGCCTGGTGTGCAGCTATGTGCGAGATTGAGATCTGAAAGATTTTGATTTCAAGCCAGCTTGAGCAAAACAGTCTACATGACTCCATCTCACTGGTGGAAGTGGTGGCTTGAGCAGCTTGTTTTCCCAGCTCCTGCAGGAAGTATAAAATAGGATCACAATCCAAAAGTTGGACCAGGCATAAAGCAAGACTCTTTGAAAAACAACCTATGGGGGAAAAGAGAGCTGCAAGGGCAAATTAATGATAGAGTGCTTGTCTCATCAAATGTGGGGCCTTGAATTCAGACACCTGTGCTGCCTGAAAAATAAAATAATAACTATCTATAAAACCTTAACAAGAAAAAGCTTCATTAAAACATCTTATAAATGACTGAGGAGTATAAGCCTATTTGGAAAGAAGATGCCAGTAGATTTAAAGTTTTCTTCAACTTTGTTTACTCATGTTGTAATGATTAATATCTTTGTAGTTTTAAGAACCAGGATAAGGAGCTGGGAAGGTGGCTCAGTGGTAGAGCATTTGCCTTGCATGCATGAGGCCCTGGGTTCGATTCCTCAGCACCACATAAGCAAAAAGCCGGAAGTGGCGCTGTGGCTCAAGTGGTAGAGCATTAGCCTTGAGCTGAAGAGCTGAGGGACAGCGCCCAGGCCCAG